TGTTTCCTTTTGCCTGTTGGCCTGAATGGGCCTCGGTCTTTTTTCTCTGCTCAAAGAATCAGTCACGTGCACAAACACTCAGTCGACTTGTGTCTAAACCGACCAGACGCCTGTTTGCAAAACTGAACCACAACCGAAATACAGACTGTTGGAGTTGTTTAAAACAAAAATATAAAAAAATCAAATAAAGAACAGCATTCTTCCTGGCTATTCTCTACAAAAATAAAACACAGCATCAGAATAATAGAGTGTCAAATACATGAATGAAAACAGATAAGTGTTCAGTAACTATTAAAATATAAATAAAAAGTATTTATATGTAAATGGTATTTAAGATACCTAAAGGAAAAAATAAAAAGACAAGCTACCGCCAATGACACCTCAGGTAATCTGGTTGGTATTTCCTCACAAAACCACCAGTTAAATGGTATTGTATTTAATTGACCACAAATAGGAAATGACACGACATTACCACAGTCTCACACCGTTCTCAAACAGTCACTTCTTACCAGCAAACGTTGCAGGAAGAAAATGAACCCGAGCTATTTTCGTTCACGTCTACCTGAGGTCAAGTTGCTAATGATGCCGTCTGTTTGTTTTTAATTGGAGACCTGTGTGACACACAGTTCAAATGATGAAAGGCACTGCTCAGCCGGAGCCCACTGCTGCTGTGACCTTCAAGGAAACATCATTACTCAACCTCATATGGGTAATGATTGAAACGACTTATACAGTATGACCACCACGCTGCTGCAGTCCAGTCCTGAGAGGGTAGAAGGAAATGCCCCTGAGGTGGAGGGGCTACAGTATAAGAACAGAGAAAATTATCTTTAAATAACTAAATAACAACAACACGATATTGTTGATATTATTTTTCTCCCCCTCTTTTTTTACCTCTTTAAAAATGTTCTATTTTCATTGTACTGTAACGCACTTTTTAATGTCTTGTTGTTGAAATGTACAAGATGTATTTTTGTCTTTCTTTTTTCATTGTACTGTAACGCATTTTTAATGTCTTGTTGTTGAAATGTACCTTACAAATAAACCTGGTTTTTGTTGCTGTAGACAATCCTTTTTACAGCTTCTTCCTCAAACTATGGGTTCGATTCCCAGAGGAACCACCTGCTTGATAAAGTTAATCCTCCTCCGTAAGTGGCTTTGGATGAAAGCGTCTGCTAAATGCATTAAAGTAAATGACTTTACGACTAATCCATAATAAAATGTTGTGAAAATGTCTTTAAATATTAACACATCCATTCAGCAAAGTCTACTGCAGCTCTGTACTAAGTCTGTGCTTCACATAATGTAGTTGATGTCCCAGTCACCAGATGTTGTACTGAAAACACGCCACAGTGAAATGTATTGATCTTTGAGTTAGTGTTATATTGAAAGGTGGGGTAAAATGAATAAATGCACATTTATTTATTGACGAGTTCACAGTGTCCTGCTGTCTATTTGGGTTAAACTGCCTGTCTACACTATTACAGTAGGCTATAACTAAGAATAATAAAAATTCAAATACTTTTTGCATCCGATTATAAACCACGGTGTAAAAACCACAATGTCCTAATGAAAACGGCAAATTTGAGAAAAATAAAAGGCACGCCTTGACTTGTTCACTTCCTGGTTCTCTTCACGGTCGGCCTGCCCTCCTCTGGGTCCTGCTACTACATCAGTGTATCTTTGGCTGGGGATAGTTTCCGGGCTCCTGCCCACCTCAGCCTCATAATACAGCCCAGACCATCTGCTGCATATCAGTACCAGCCATTTAACAGGACTCGGCCAGATCATCTGACTAACCCTGGTTAGTTATGTTTCTGCTAAAACCCTCGCTTGGCTGACAGCATTTTGCCCGTCTGCCTGAATAACCTTTTGTCTTTGCTTGCTCTAAAAGTCACTCACTTGCACAAACAGTAATTAGCCTCTCTGACCAGACACCTGCTTGCATAATGGAAACTCAAACAACCCTGTTAAAGGCCAATAAAACTGTGTGAGAATTTTAAAATATAATAATTTTACACAGAAGACCATAAAAAAGAGCTACAGTTAACTTAAAACAAGTAAAATATGGAGGGGAAAAAACTGCGGAAATGAAATATTTAGATAAACCAATGTCTCTCCGAGTCATTCTTGACAATATTAATTAAAATGGCACTGCTAGTGTTGAAGTAAGTGCAAATTGAAGGGGGAAATCTAATCTGCAGTAGTGCATTTTAAATCGTGTTTTTTTCTTTTTTTAGAATTTTTATTTCATCAGTTTGTTGCAAAATTAACCATAAAAACCAACTGACTTCTTTTCAAATTTAATCTCTTTTGCGATCATTTTAACGATTGTAAAGGCTGCAAAACTGAGGCATTGGTTATGAAATGGTCAAGTCGGTTCAAGGAGGACAGAAACAAGTCACAGTCTGCTAAAGTAGAGCGATGGTACTGAGTCAGTGGGTATATTTGAAGGAAAAAGTTTTTTTACAATGACCTGAAAATATAGAATATTTGAAGGAAAAAGTTTTTTTTACAATGACCTGAAAATATAGACAGAATAGATTGTGGCAATAAAGGGAAATTAGATGGAGTAATTAAAACCCTAGCTGAGTTATTTCAGCATTGCTCCATTTGCCACCCTTCAAAAACTCTATTTGCTGAAGTAACAGTGCTTGGTGTTGTAGAAAACTGCATTGACGAGCCAATAATTTTCAGGCTGTGTTCCAGAAAAGGAAAAGACAAAGTTGACGGGCAACATCACAGTGTTTGCCTCCAGCATTCAGTCATTTTTAACCCAAACACTGATTGTTCAAACTGCTGCTCCCTTCATTGTGAGACTGTCTCTGTGACTCCAGAAAGGAGGTTGCTGTGCCAGCGTTTGATGAATTGGTTATCTAAATGCATCACCACAGGCCTTGGTTGTGTGGTCGTTTTTCATAAGGATTAACAAAAATAAATGTCCCAGTTCATACACAGCACACACCAGGGCAGAGGCAGCGAATTCCAAGAAGAACAACACAGGAGCCCTCACATTTCAGTAAATCATCAGCCCTCCGATCAATAACATGTCAGACTCAAACTTCCTTAATATTCAGTCAAACACATTTACACTCGATTTCCTCCGGTTAATTGATTCCCCTCTCATTAAGGCAATGATTGCCTTCTTGCCCACTCTCAGGTTTCTTTTCTGGTGCTTGAAATTTTTTTCATTATCTGGTTTAATTAATTAAAAGCATCTAATTCATGGCTGACTCCTATGTCTGTCATCGTAGCACCTGCTCTACATAATCTTAACGGGGATTTTGGAGCAGTTTGGCTCGGATTAATCATCCATCCTTCACTAAAGCAGTGATTAGTCTAACAGCTCTTCTGTGATGTTGAGATGGTAGAGGGGAATACAGCGACGCGAGATGCGTGCGTCCAGTAGCATGCATCTGCAAACACTGTTCCGATTACATGCAGCAAAGAAAACTTTTTTTTTTTTTACTGAGGGGGAAAACTCCAGACCCGGTGCTTCTGACACTGTAATGAAAAAAGAAAATCCCTCTGTGCCCTGTCTCCTCGGGGTGCCACACAAACATTAGCTGCTGCCAAAAATGCTCCAGCTCTCTGACAGACGGTGAAATCAGTGCAGTCACAAAAGTACTGCGCCTGTCAACGCACACCTGTGTGAAAATGCATGAAAGAAAAAGAGTGAAGAATATTTTTATTTTACCTGAATATGGAGCACGTCTTTCCATTTCGCACACCTCAGCACAGATAATGAAAATGTTGCTGCAAACACGGCCGAGACCTGCACTTTCTCTCTCCTGACAAGAGGGAGGGAAGGAAGGACGGACAGACGGAGGGAGGGAGGGAGGCAGAGAGAGGGAGCGAGAGAGAGAGAGAGGCAGAGAGAGCGAGCGAGAGAGAGAGAGAGAGAGAGAGAGAGAGAGAGAGAATGAACGGGGGCCAGGCAGTGGGATCAGATCTAAACATTTTGCCAGAACAAATTTAATTAAGAAAACAGCCAAAGCCTCAAAAAAAAAAAAAAAAAAAAAAAACATCATCATCATAGTTACTCGGGCATTTTTGAGGTTTAATAATGGACAACATTTCAGAGATTATGGAGCATTTTGGCTGGTGGTTTTAGTATTTATTATTGTGGTTTTAGTGATCATTGGAATACTGTCGTGGACGCATCAAAGTTCTGTGCGTTCAGACAAGACAGCAAAAAAAGATGGTGCGGCATTAGATATGACCATGTCCAAAATACGTTGCCCTGAACTTTGACCCTGAATGATTATTTACATCCAGGCAATGTAATCTTGTAAACACAGACTTGGAACTCTATTGTTTGATAAACAAATATATCTAATTTATCTTTGTTCGCAGCATGACACTGGAGTGTAATATCTGAATAGATATCTTTACAGATTTGAAAGTGATGAACTCCTACTCCTACCCCAGCAGCTTATGATCCTGTCCGTTAATCTTTCTGTTTGGGGCAAATTTTGTCAAAATGTATAAATCTTTTGTTATTTAGAGGCTTGAATTCCAGTTATGTCTCATTATTTTAGGATAATTCTGAGGTGAAAAAACAAACTATATTCTGAGTGTATGTGTATTTGTATATTATTATTTGTGTGTGTATTTTGCATCTGTTTGCTTAACCGTATTAAAGAAATTCAATCACAAACTTATAGCGATATGGCTGACAAATACCCCATCTAGTGGATCAAATAGGTAACGCATTCTATTGACTATATATAATTAAAGAAACAATATTATAAGAAAAACAACAAACACAGCGAATAAAAAACCCCAACGCGTTATCTCTCTTTTAAACAAGGAATCCAGTAGGAGTTTGTTGGAAATAAATGTATAAAATAAACAAAACTGGGAACTTGTGGGCAAACTGCGTTTGTGAAATGGATCATACCAAAAATCGCAATGTAAGCCCCCCGTCCCCCAAAAGACAACAGATCCGAGTTATGATCGTTGTTCATAATCAATACGTGATATTACATTCTCGCGAGATTTTAGTCTGTTACCAACTCACTGCCGTCTTGGATACAGCAGTTCTACCCTTTCACCGTAACCCGGGAAAGGTGACCACAGAAGCGGGTAGCATCGGAAATTTCTCGAGGTTTCGTTTTCGAATACCAGTTTCGAGTTTCTAAACTTTTACCGACACAAAAACAATGACTTTCTGTGATGTCGCTGGAAAAAGTTGGTAGCTTACCTGGCAAAACAGCGAGCTAACACTGGTTTGCTAACGTTAGCTTGCTAACGCTAACGTTAGCAAACAGCTGATCCCAGTCTCCTAACATCGGGTCAGAATAAGTTGGAAAAAGTTTGGATTGTGTTATCACGAGGACATCGGAATGAATGCGGATATCTAGCCTCATTCGCTAGCTTCATCAAGGGTATGTGTTGTGTATCTTTATACGTTGTTCAGCCAAGTTTAAAAACTTAGCCGACTTGGCGGCTCCGACTACTAACTGGATACTGTGTTTTGAAATAAGCCATTCTATCTAATGCTTCAAGTTGTAGATAGAAACAACACTTCTTATAATGGCTTCATGATAGTAGACATCTACGCTGCTTGTGTAACACTTATTGTGTTGTTATCTTGGATGTTAATATCAATCCATAAGATAGCCTTTCTTGTGACTATTTCCTGGACACGTAAGGGCTATGACATATTCCGTTAGTAGTATCCTTTTCTACTCGGAATGCCCTTTTTATATATCGTTGTGACTCATCACTCCATGATAACAACATGATGTATCTACTCCAACACGAAATTCATGAAACGCATAGCTAAAAGATCTAATAATAATTGTGCTTTAGCGGTAAGCCGGTGTACACAAACTTACACAAGGCTCCTGTGTTTTATGCATTGAATTCTCTATCCTCTTTATAGTACCATATGGTTAAGGTACTCTTGTTGCTAACCTGTTCCAAAATCAAAGTTTGATGCAAAATTGATGGTAATGTTTTAATGCACCCGAATGGTTACGTTTATATTGCTGAAGTGATGCCTGTTCTAAGCCGGATATGTTAGATTCTTGACTCGATTCTAAGTAGGCTTGTTGACAGTGAATGATTATCCTTGTTCGAAGATTACTCGTTGTTTTAACATTCATCTTGTTGTAATTCGATGTCTACATCATTGAGTGACAGCACCTGGACTCTGCTTTTCACAGCTGTAGCTCACAGTCAGTGTTGTTAGTGCGCCATCTTGGATTTCACTCAGTTTGTATTGAGTTTAAGGGAAATGACCCGCAGTCAGTCGGGAAAGTACACTTTAGTTCTTTATGCCTTCCTAGAATCGTTCCTTCTCGAAACACCCTTTCCGCAAATAGGTCATACCTCCCAGTGACTGGTTTCATTAAACACATGTCAATGAACTTTATGTATTTTAATGGTTTGAATTGAACTTTTTTTAATTTTGAGAGGACATACTTTGTCTTCAGTCAGCTGGTAAAAACACAGGTGTGGCATCTGTCTGACAGCCATCATTCACTGACACTCAGTTGTCCCTTTTAAAAGAGAAGTGTCTTTTCTATTGCTGATCTATGCAGTTTATGTCATGTAAGCTGGCATTGATGAGTCAACGTGATTCTATGTATTCTTTTGTAAGCTTGAAAGTATGTGCTCTGTACCTGTGTTAGGGTTAGGGTGACTCATTTATCCCAGTTTGATACAGTTTCTGTTCTTTCATTTTATTGTTTGTAGTCATACTGGATTACAAAGCAGTTTTTAATACTCTGCTGTCGATGCAGAATTTCTCCTTCATTCTGACAGCCTGGCGTAGAACCGGAAGGCAGCAGCATATGATTGTTCAGCTTCCCTCATAAAGGAAAACATGTGACTTGCTTCCTAGTTTAATTTATCGACAGTATTTGCATGGTCCAGTAAAATTATTGTAATAAGTTTGTCCAAAAAATTGTCGTTTATTGACACAGGGAGTGTATGGCCTTTCAAGCCACAACATTTGTTCTCTACTGAAGCATTCAATGGCAGTACAGGTGTTTTGAGTAAACATCACATGACTGACGTGTCACAATTTCCACTTTGTTTATCATCTCTTGTGAATACCCTTAGAAGAATGTCCTCCTGTAGAACCGGTTTTAAATTGCAGTGTCATCTGCTTCATTACAAGCTTTTGTAACAACAGCATAAAAGATATTTAAAGATACGCGTGGCTTGTTTGCATTATGTCTTAACAGTCTTGCTTTCTTTTCTTTCTGGTGTCTTGAAGTGTTTGAAAGAAATGAGGAGCAGTAAAAAGGCAGAGGGGTCTCTAAAAAGCTCTGCTCAACATCTCACAGATCACAAGATTGATACAGGTATTTACATTTGTGCTCAGTTCAAATTTTAAATGTGTCATATTGTTTTTAAATGACATTTACTTATAAAAAAGTTTTTTGGTTTTGTTTTTCTCTGTCAGACTTGGCAGCTGCATGGAAAGGTTTGTCTCAGTCGAAAGCTGCTGTGAGTACTTGACTTTACCATATCCTAAATGTAAAACATGACTCACTGAACATGATTTTTTGTTTTCAAAGGATTTGACATATTAAATCTTTGTCTAGTTGCGGCATATAGAAAACCATTTAGAAGCGGTTCCAGGAACAGGTGTTATGCTGGACTCTGTCATGAATCCCATTAAGGAGAAATCCTCTCAGATTATCCTGTCCAGAAGTGAGTCTTTCCAATATTTTTAAATGAATTATTTAGAATTTACTTATAGTTAGTTTCTGACAAAGCTAAAATGTTAAGTATCTTCTGCATCCTTAGATGGGATACAAACCAAGAATGGTGGGTCTTCAAAGCACAGAAGAAGTCGGAAGAATCCAGAAAAGAGCAGCTCCCGTAGTCCATTGCGAAATGCAACACAGGACAGCAATGTCTGCAGGAACAATGGCGTAGAATGCAGGGACCAGTTAACCCCATACAGGTAAAACAACTGCTTCAAATGTGTTCATTAATTACTGTGGTATATTTATGTTTAATTAATGTCTATATATGTTGCCAAACATATGTCAGAATTTCAAAGTTTTGCTATATCTGTAGTGCATGTGCCAAAAAGTTCTTGTTTGTTTAGTTTGTTGTATCCTCAGGAGTTTACATAATATAGGTTGACTTCCTGGTTCCCTGGGTGGGGGCTGTTCTATTCTAGTAACAGCTGAATAAGACATTGTTTGTACTTCATTCTACTTAGATATTTTCATTGTAATTGTTGTCTTAATGCTTTGTTTAATCAGACAGACATTTTCTTTCATCTAAACAACTCCTGGTCCTCAAAGCTCTGGGCTTCAAGGCTTCTGTCAAGACACCGTATGTTCTTGACAGCTCTGAACGGCCTGTAGCTAATGAGCTTGAAAAACCTTCAAAACCTCAAAGCATTACAGTTGACAGTGCAACAAACGGCTGAGCTGAGTTTTCCAAGGTGTAGGTGTGTTGGAAAATATTGCAGCAAAATCCATGATTTGACCACTTGCTGGAAAGATTAATAAAATGGTTACAAATAAAATATAGGGTTTTTAGAGGAACTTATTAAGACTGAAAGATTTAAAAAATGTCAAATTTGCTGGAAAGATTAATAAAGGGGTTACAAATAAAACACATATGGGGTTTTTAGAGGAATTATAAAGACTGAAAGATTTAAAAAATGTCAAAAACTACAACTCATAAAAGTACAGATTATACATTTCATGCATTTCTTAAAGTTAGTAACATTTTAGACTTTTGTGGTCTGTGATAATTATTTATATATTTTAATACAAAACGGCATATTTTTAACCATTACATTACGATTTAAAAATGTCTTTCCTTGACACATATATTTCTGTAATCTACTCTGTCTCCAGATTGGCCGCCCCACCTTCACATCCATCTTCTCAGCAAGAGATGCTCACCTTCGAGTCAGTACCAGGGTCTTCAAACTCCTCCTCAGATCCTCTGCTTAGCCAGATGGTCTACCAGAGAGACACCAGAGACAAGCAGACAGACAGGGACTTGGACAGTACACACTCCTCAGCTCTGATGAGCACAGAGGTCCGATACCTCAATGATCTGCCAGCCCTGGAAACCCTTAAGACCAATGGATATCAGTCACCTCTCACCACTGATAGAGCTCCTGTAAGGGAGTGGAATGGGGATAATAGAACTCCAAATGCACATCTTGATTTCAACAGCCAACATTCAAGTCCATATTTTGCTTCATTGCCGGGCTCCTTACCCCGGGGGGAGGGCACGCCTTCCTCAAGCCCAGGCTCTGCTTCCCAGCGTTTAGAGAATCTTAGGCGACACCAACCAGATGATAAACTAGAAAAACTCAAAGAGCGCATCCGACGACAGAGACAGCATCTGGAAGAGGCTGCAGAGAAAAGTAAGGTGCTGGGTTTTCAGGAGCAGCCCATCACTGCAGCTGTGGAAACCAACATATCTGCTCCCACCGTCAAAATACGGAAAGTTGCACCTGCTCCACCTGCACCTATTTACAGAGGTATTTTTGCAATGAGATTTGCCACAGTTTTTGATTGTCTGAAATTTCAGAAATCTGACACGGCCTAGTGATTTGAGGATATAGAGACTGATTCTTCAATTCTTCGATTCAGGGTTTAACAGCACTGAGACAAAGATTCGGACGCCTGATGGGAAAGTTTGGAAGGAGGAAGAGTTTCATAACCTCAGCAGAGAAATATACAGAGACCTTACGCAACAGTTTGCTGGTAAATGTAGAACATATTTTCAGTATGACTGTTTTTGTGTATGCTTGCTAAAGTATGTGTAACAATTGCACTTGTTGTTGATCTTTAATCTTTTAAATTTTATTTTGGTTAGCTCTTGTATCCCATTGTAGGCAAAGCTTTAATTCTGCTTTAAATGAAGAAGGTTGTGTCCTTTCTGTGTAACTATCTTTGGGTTTCACTTGTGCACAGAGCTCACCAAATCCAGACATCAACGGCAGAGGGAACAGAAAACCGACATGTCCAAGGAGAAGAGGCCCTCCAAACCAGTCAGGAAGGTCCACAAGGCCGCTGCTGCTCCTGACCTAAATGCAAAACCAGGTACAACGATCCTCTTATATGTGTAAAGCTCGGTCAGCCCTATGATCTATTTTTTTCTTGTTGCCGTAGGATAACTTATCATGTGAGGCAGTCTAATTAAATCTGCCCAGGGTTGAAAAATACAGCGTGTTTAAAACAATAAGTTAATAACCCAGTGTTTGTCTGCCTTCTGGATGTTTCCAGTGTCTGTGATTTTTGTCTTACGTTTTTACCTTGCACGCAGTATCCCAGATTTTAGCTCAGTAATAAGTGGGTTCATGCTATTGCTTTTTTAATGCTGTCCTTAATTGCTCAAAATCCCATTAAAATCAAATCACTAGTGAATTAATTCTAATCCATACCAGTGTCTCTTTCCATGTTTTGGCTGTCCCAGGGGCTGTTTGTGTTCCAAGAAATGAACATCAGCAGTTGGCTGATTTCGAGGCTATGTTAAGATTGTAATTCCTGCAGAAATGTTCAGCATGTATGACATGCTGTTTGTGACTAGTCAGTAGCTTAGAGGCACATGGTATGCAGACTGAAGGGAGTATACCACGGTAACCCCTGGCAGCTAAGTAAACTGAACTCATTCATAAAGATCCTCAGAGCAACACATGTAAACATCTTCAGTGAAACAATCTGTGTTCACTAAATCACAATTTAGTGAAGGTGTTAAGTTAATAAAATCTGTAAGGTATGGTTTATCCCAAGTAGTGCACTGGTGATATATTTGAGGTCTTACTCTGTTATTGTTGTCTTTGTGGGTTTATGTCGACTCTGTGCTGCTTTTGCAGTCTCTCTGTTTCATGCTAACGTGGTACTATAAATAGCCCCCTAAAATCTGTGACCAGGATCAGTTGGCTTGTTCACCCGGTGGTAACAGCTGCTGGACTGAGCTCGTTTAGCTATAGTTCCAGGAACTGTTCTCAGCGAAAAATGCTGTTGAACCCGGGAACTACAAATGTATACCACATTTTGGTACTAATCCTGGTTGCAGAACAGCTTTAATACTTAAAATCAGCCCAGAGGTCAAACTGGAGCAGATGTGCATTGCAAAAAAAAAAAACCCAACTGAAATCTACTGTACTCTAACAAAACAAAAAGCTTCAGTGAACAGCAACACTCTCTTTCAAAATCTTTCTGCAGGGATCAGTGCTGCATCTTGGCGAGATGGTCAGAAACTGGTGAAGATGGTACTGGGTCCACCTCCCAAACCAAGCAGAGAAACTGACCTGTCACATCAAGTTGATGGACCTATCGAAACAGGTAGAACCCAAAAACGTTCACCCTCACAGTTGTAAACATATTAGTAGATCTGTGTTTTTGTCGTGATGTAATCCATTTTTTAATGACACGCTCCAGTGAGCCGGTTTTATCCACTGTGTAATCTGTTTATCTCTGCGCTTCTCATTTGTGTAATGGTTTCTGCGGTAAAAAGAAATGGAGGGGCATAAACTGTAAAGGTGATTACTATTGTCCTTAAAATTAAACTGCTATTTTGAGATATTTCAGCTTCAACTCAGAAAAGCCCTCTGAATTTTTAAATTTGAGTGGTTTGTTGAATAAGATTTATTTTCAAACATTTTGTTCGTCGACTCTGTTAGTAGTGTTTTCATTTGCTTTTGCTTTTAATGTGGCAATCTAGATGAGCCGTTATTTGTCTTAAAAGCCAAAATCAAACAGCAGCAGTAATAACTGAGTCTGATGTTTAAGACAACCAATTATACTAGATAAATGCTCTGGAGCCACCACTGCACTAAGAAACACACACACACTACTGTACTTCCTCTGGTCTATTTCTTAGCCTCATTTTCTCTAGGAGCCATTGACCGAAAAGAATAAAAATTGAAAGGTTGTTCTTGTTGGATGCATAATTAGACTTGGCCTCTTTTCCAGAGGTTGTTGCCAGTGCAGATCGAGGCTCTTGGGGAATAGCTGGCTAGACGAGGAGACATAATGGGGACAGTTACCAACGCCACATTCTAATGCACTGTTGGTTTTTTTCTCTGCAAAGTCTAGAATTTCTAATTTTGCTCCAGGTTAAAATCGCCAGTGCAAACACAAATGACAAGCCTTCTTTTACATGTGTGAAGTTTTGGATACTTGAATGTAAACCTCTACTCTTGTCTTGTTTATAATATTCAGCTTCCCCTCATCGTTCTGGTTCAGGCCCACATTCAAAGTCAAAGCATCAGCCCCGCCCTCACAGCAAAGAAAGGCCTCTCAGTGGACATAAAGAACAATTGAATGGTCACTGTGCAGCCGGATCTACTCTCCCTCAGGAAAAGGCGTCGCTGGGTGTGAGCAAAGATCTTTTGTCGGCTGACATTCAAGGAATACTGGATGATCTTCAGCTAGACTATGAATCAACCGAGAAGGTGGAGAGGGCTCGCCAAAGGTCACGATGTGAGAGCCGTGGTAAGCGAGGGAGAGGAGGATCGGGATCGCGGACGAGAACTCCAATATCTGCTTGGGGAACAACTGTGGTCACACGTAGCTCCTCCAGAGGATGTCGCAGTGCCAGCCCCACAACAAACAGATCGGAAATGGCCAACGTGGCTGACGCAGGGTCGAAAAAGCGGCATTATGATGCAAATGCCATCCGCCAGTACATTGTCCAGCAAAAAGAGGAGAGAAAGAAGCGTCAAGAAGAAGAGAAGAGAGCACTCAGGGAGGAGACGGAAAGGAGAAACCACAGACTGCAGGAGCTCTACAGGAAGCAAAAAGAAGTTGCTAGAACTGTTCCTTCTGAGCTACCTGTGCCTTCTGTACAAAAGCATCTGCAATTGACCTACAACAAACTGCTGCTGGAGGAGTCCCAGCTGAGCGAGGAGGCCACATTGATGCACATCGATGCTCCTTTCAGTGAAATGGTATTGTACCTACGTGTGAACATTGTCACCTTAACAACATACAGTATAAACCCTGAATTAAATGATTCCTTCTTCCTGCAGAGGCCCATGTACCAACCTTCTGGAGAGTCGGACAAAGAGAACCTTAGGGTAGATGCACCACAGAGCCCCTCCAGCAGTGACAGGTCATTGAATGAACAACCACCTGCGTTATCCAGGTACACACACGCACAAAAACACTCACAAAACTGCCTGTCCTATAAACTAAGAAAAATTACAAATAAAGCACGACAACTTAAATCAACATACTCGATGTTTTATCATGTATTGATTATGTAATCACCTCCTATATTTAAAATCTGCTTTTGCTGCTCAATCTGCAGCTGCAGCTTTTAGTCTAAGGAAATTTTCTTGTATTAGATTTGTAGGTAAAACCTCAACCGTAAAATTTGATGTGCATTACTTATAATAATGACCCGAGAGCTGTAAACTTTCTGGTAATTAATTTGAGTAATTGACTTCTTATTATGGAATATACCGGACCTTCTGATGCCAATGTTTTGTATCAGAAGATCCTTTGATATAAGAGAAAATACTTCAGTAATCCCTCATCGAGGATTCACTAAAACATTGCATTGTTAAGTTAATTTAAATAGCATTGGTTGTTTGGAGCAGTTAAACTCAAAATCATAGCTACACGTTTTGTCAGGAATAATAAAGTATGAAGCCAAAAGAATACACATTATATATATATATATGTTGGTTTGCAGTGTAATTTTAAACAGTAAACGCTAATAATTTGTGCATTCTTGGTGCATGTCTTGTGAAGTCTCCTGACTGTGTCATGAACAGTAACTGTTTGTTTCCAGATTTTTCCTGGAACATTTCTTGAAAATCCCTTTTTCTCAGATCTTAACCAAACAAAAAACTCAAAGTACTGTTACCAGTGATACTGCATGAAGTTAATTCTCCCTGGAATGCAAACACAGATGTAAAGGACAAAGGATTTAACTTTGCTCTAAATATATTAAGTAACTTAAGTAGTAACTTTAAGCATAGTTTGACTTTTGAAAGTACTTGTGATTACTTCGGTCAGCTTCAAGCTCGTTTAAAACTCGTTTGGTTTTTCTAGTAATTTTAACGCTTCAAGTAAATGTATGTGATAATTTGACCATCAAGTTTTTGTTTTTCTGTCTAATGTTACAGGAATGATCTGGATGGCGTCGCTGACGCTTTACGTCCGGCAGACAATCACAGCCCTGCTGTTCGACCCAAAACTGCACCCAGCAGCCACGTGCCAACTCCTGTTGGTGACAACCTTCTCTCTCAGCTCCTTAGGCTTGAGATGGCAATGGCAGGGGCAGAAGTCAGGCGCCATGACCCACCAGCTACAGTATCTACTAATCGGTCTAATTCAAAGATTTCCCGCATTGAGGCTCTCAAGGCCACAGCTGCATCCCTCTCCAACCGTATAGAAAGTGAAGCGAGGAAGATCGCTGGAGAAGGGATCAACTACGGTACAGCAACTTTAGCAGACGTTGACGGTATTTTGGCTCCTCCCTCCGAAACTAATCTTGAAAATGGATGCTGGCCAGAAACCGGTGTCACAGAAAATAATAATAATAATTCAGGAACAAATGCCCAGAGAATCTTAAACGGTACCGGTCATAGTTTATATGATGCCACCTTTCTTCCAGGAGTAGGCAATCTGCATGCATTCAGAGGAAAGAAAGAATTGATGAATACGCATATTATTTCTACCAGTCCACAAACATCCGGTGGTGATGTAACAAGGCAAAATCTCAGTTCTACACAGGAACATAGAAAAATGCTCAATGGCTTGGAAAAGGAGGAACTGAAGTATATAAAGGACCGGAGTAAAAGGAACGACAACGCTGAGAATCAGGTGGAACTCCATGACTCCAGCGCTGGTTCTATCAGTGAAGGGCCCATACTGAGTGAAGCCAGTTTTTCAGAGGATGAGGCACACTCGCCTCTTCATGCCACTAACAGTGCATTTACACCAGCCAATGGTGTGGAGGCAGTGGATTACTGCGCTGGTCAAGGTCAACGAAAGGATTTTCAGCGTCTATCTGAGTTCCAGAGGGAGGCAGCGAAGTGCCCAGCCCTCACCTCCACATTTACACTGCAGGACAACAGTAATGCAGCCTGGGAGGAGCTCAACAAAGGAAGCCCTTTGAGCGTTATCAACATTTTCACAAGGAACCTGAATAAGCACGTGAAAGGTTGGTTTTTGAAACTTGATAATGTAGTACCTTGATTAGATTATACCTGTATATAAAGATGCACTTTTATCAGATGTCTGTCATTTGGTAACAGAATATCAACACACACTAAAAGTAATTCTATATTCTTCTTCTGCTTCACTTCTTTCCTCGTAGTGAATGGACTGAACTCTCCCTCTGCCCAGTCTTTTGACTCTGGAAATGGTCTCAGAGATTCACCCGTCTATGAAGACGACTTTGTGTCACCACAAAGCTGCAGAACAACTAGCCAGTCAAGGAAATCACCGAGGTACAGAGAAGACTATGACAGACAGTGCAGTGCAGTGTTTGCTTAAAATGACCACTAGGTGGCATTCATGTCACACTCCTCAAAAGCCCAGGCCTTGTTTTCAGGGTTTTTTGTTCGGTGGTTTGGTCTTTTTTTAGGACAAGGAACAAATTGTTATGTCTTTTCTGAATGATTTCTTTTTATAAATCAAATGTGTTGAATTGGATCCCATAATCCTCTCTACCACCAGTGTCAACAGTCACTTTGAGGAGCTGATGCGGAGGTCTCCCTACGACAAGGGCAGTGAGGGCATCAACTCCCACCGCTCATCCTTTCAGTCACCTGTCCACTCGCAACATCTCTCCTCTGATTCGCTCTCTGTTTCCTCACCACGCTCAAGGCACTCTGGTAGGAATAAAGGTGAAGATGACATCTGTTTAATTTTCTGAAATCTTTTTAGTTACCAGAGCTGGTGCACAGTCTAACCCTTTTCTTTATAGGTGCCAAATCAGAGAGAAGTGATGTCACTCTGGTGGAAGCGCAGCGCAGCCCCTGCTCACCTCTGTCAGAAGTTTTATCTTCTGACTCCAGGAAGAGGGGCTCGGACAGAAGCTCCTCCCACAGCAAGGCAAAAAGTGTCCACTCTGGTGACACTTTGGGAGAATGTTTGAATCGTTCTCATCACAGGTAGTAATAATGATGTTATTGTATTAGAGGGTTAATGAGACTTAAGTTGACTAGTGAAGAGAATTGTCAAAATAAATAAATAGAAACAAGCCATTTCTATATTTAGGGGTTTCAATGTCATGAAACATGAAGCTGATTTTTATCCAGTTTATGTAACATTAAATTTGTTGGTCACATTGTCACAACTGTTTTATAACAAACATGTTATTTTAGTTATTGACTAGAATTGTAAAGATATTAAAATCTCTTGTCACTCTGAAGTAAGTATTTCTTCCCCTAACATTAGGGTCATTCCTGTTATTTGCTCTTCCAGCCTTTTAAATACCTCCACTCAGCGTGACTGTAATTACCCAAAATGTTAATTTATGTGGGCATGACCAATTACTAAAACTGCACTCACACATCCCAGGTTGAGAATGCCAACCCAAACAGTCTGTGGCTTGTTGTTCCCTTAAGTACACAGAGGTTTAAGTAGCCTTGCGGTGCCTAGCAACAGGAGGGGCCTGCAATTTGACCCAAGACAGAAAACAGTGGTTATTTTGTGTAGATGTGCCGTCCGGGTGGCCCGGGGGGTACAACCCGTTTTGCGCCTGGTGGTAACATTTGAGCTTTCTAATGTGGACCACGTGAACTCAGACAGCAGATTCCTGTCATTCTAAAGAGACATCAATGCATCCTTTTTACATTTGCACCACTATTTCAGTGGGAGCATGCATTTGTTTTTGAAAAGACTTCAGGAAATGTGTTTTTTTTTGGTTCGCCTCACAGTGACTTATTATTAGTATTATAGTATTAGTAGACCTATCATCATTTGTTGTTCAAGGGACTTTGTGTATTGTATGTTATTGATGTGTTTATTAATATATTTTCTTAAAAACATGTTTATGTCTTACATTAAAGTTAACCCCTAGAAAGTATTTCAACATGAATAAATACAAATTACCATCAATTTGTGAAGGAATACGAGATTACAAGTTAAAGGCATGTTGATTAGTAACATTTGTTTATTGTTTGTTGATTGCATTCACAGTTTGGGGCGTGACGGAAGGAAATCTTCGTCAGTCACACCGAAACATGCCTCTCCTTTGGCTTCTTCAATTTCTGGTTCTCCACCGGGGGAAGTGTCACCAAGTGATTTTGTAAGAGGAGATAACAAGAACACTGGCACCACAACCCAAAATATCAGAGAGGAGACCGGGAACAAGGGTAAATTGACTCAGTTTTCAGTTTTTGCCCTGAGATAGTTTGTGCTAATTCGACGAGGATACAGTTCTCGTCCACGTAGATGCTGATCTGTCTGTAACCTTGTTATGTTTCCATGTTTCCCCCGGCAGGTGATCTTCACTATTCACCTGCTGTTCTGCAGCAGCGTATGGCTGCAGAGTTCCAGTACCTAGAGTCCATTGAGGAGTCTGTTCGACAGCTGGACAACATGGAGAGGTTGATGTGTGTCACGATGGCTCAGCAGGAGAGTAGCTCCCTGGCACAATTGCTCAAAGTAAAGTATTTTCTAAGCACATTTTCTATATATATATTGTATATATCGTAAAGAAAATATGGTATGAGAAGTTTAACGCTGAAATTTATATGTTGGCACTCCAGGCCAAACAGCAGCGCCACGAGCATGACCTCTATGAGCTGAAGATCAAGGCTGAGCGAGAAGCTCTGGAGGCACAACTACAGTTGGAAGAAAATCGACAAAGAATGACAAGGGTAGGTCATGCCATGGAAATCAGTGCTGACCCCTTTGGTGTTGGTTGTGGCGTATTACTTTTTCTATTCTTCTTGATAATGTGTATTGTTTTATTCAGGCTCATATAGAACTACAGGAGAAATTGGCAGGGTCTCAAAAAGAGACGCTGGAAGGCCTCCAGGAGGCAACTACTAAGATGATGAGTCAACAGGCTGAGGCAGCACAGCACACAGCAGACGCTGCCCGACACATCAAGGAGGTTAGCAATCACTGCCTCTCCTGCTGCCTGGAAAGCAGCCCGTGTCTTCATTCAGTAACAAAAGCCAATAGATTTTTTTAAGTTACAGCAAGCAAATAACAATAAAAGTGAATACTTGATCTCTTTATCTGTTCCCGTCTGTCAGATGACAGAATTGGCACGGACTCAGGTAGTGGGAGCTTTGGTTGTCGCTCCGGCTCCCAATAAATCCATGTTGGACAGGCGAGACGAACAGGAGAAGGACCTGCACCCAAACCAATCTCTTTCTGAAAGGTAAAATAAGAAATAACATATTTTTATTAGAACAAAGCAATAACTGTCTCTCCCTTTCCTACAACTGTTGTTCTGTTCCATATTTTTATTAGTACAAAGCCATAACTGTCTCTCCCTTTCTTACAACTGTTGTTCTGTTTTAACCTAATGTCCCCAAACAATCATGCTTCTATTTTGTGAAAGTGACACATCATCTAAAATGTTTATCAATATGTTTCTTTTTGTGCTTTATAGCTTTCTGAGTGAGGTGTCAAGCAGACAAGCCAGGCCAGATGACCCTCCGTCTTCGTTGAATAGCCTCAGTCATTCTGACTCCATGTCCTTTAAAAGGCCCGGCTTTAGGTATGACTTAACCTTGTCCTGTGTCATGAAACTAAAGTGTACTTTAAAAGTTGAAGAAAAATTAAAGGTAATAATTTGTTTTTTCCTCAGTGAAACAAACACCAGCAGCCACAACAGTTCATCGTATTCGCCAGCCCACAGAGACCAAACAAATAAGGAGGCAGACAAAGTAAAGAGGAGGAAAGGAAGGGCAGAAGGGAGGAACAAGAGGGAAGGAGGAAGCAGTTCCATAGAGGAGGAAGTTCCAACAGCAGCAAACGACTCTCTCTGTAGTGAAAGCATCCCGTTTGTAAGGGATGAAAAAGGTGCTTTAAAGGATATGATTTATTTCCTCATATGTTCTATTCTCATTTTTGTTCCAATATTAATGGGCTTTAAAAATACCAGGGCTATAAGAAGATTGATTGTAATCATCTCTTGAAATTCTTACCCAGGAGACAGCACATCTGTAGCAACAGAGTACTCGCTCAAGTTTGATGAGTCCATGACTGAGGATGATATAGAAGAGAGATCGTTTCGTTCACTGCTGCCGTCTGAGGCACATCGACGTGGCACTTTGGAGAAAAAGTCTCAGCCTCGTGAAGGCTCAGAGGACGATCATGTGTCTCACAGCACATTATTTTCCGAGGCCAACAATATTTTGAAGGTGAGAAAGCGTCTTTGTATTTCATTTTCACACTTTCGGCCGTTGTGTTTAAATTTTTTCAACATTTGTTTCCCTACCAACAATATTTTGAAGGTGAGAAAGCATCTTTGCATTTCATTTTCACACTTTCAGCCGTTGTGTTGTTGTAGTTTTTTTTTACTCATTACTACTGTTGCATTTAAATTTTTTCAACATTTGTTTCCCTGCAGCCTCTAGATGCAAGCATGTCCTTCTCCGGTGGACAGGACAGCTTTTCTCAGTTCACGATGGACATGGTACGACAGTACATGAAGGATGAGGAGGTCAGGCTGCAGCACCAGAGCTCTCTGTTGCGTCTCCGACAGAAGGCCGTCAGGGAGAAGACGAAAACGGAGCTGGCCTGGCTGGAGCACCAGAAAAAGAGACTGAGGGACAAGGGAGAGGATGACAAAATGCCACCAATTCGGAAGAAACAGAGGGGTCTTTTATTAAAGCTGCAACAGGAGCAGGTATTTGACCCTAAACAAACCCAAATTACATCACACTCTGAATATGTGGTTTCAATATCAATCTCTGCCAACCTTTTCATCTTTTTTTTTTCATGATCAAAGGCTGAGATCAAGCGACTCCAGGAGGCCAATAAAGCAGCGAGGAAAGAAAGGCAACTTTTGATGAAGCAGCAGGAAGAGATTGAGAGGATGAGAACAACAACACTCAGATTGAAGGAGCGTCTCAAATGTGCAGGGGGTGAAGTGCCTTCTGTAAGTAACAGTCTGAAACAAGAAAAAAATCCAAGTACAGTAACCATATTTTTGTAACTTGACAAAGTTTGAACCTTGTTTCTCTCCGTTCTTTGTTAAGGAGCTGCTTGCATCAGAAACACAAGCGACGGAGCCACTCACCCCCACGCGTGGGTGATTTCACCGCAGCCCTTCTCCCTCACTCTCCGTCTCTGGGAGTGAGACCAGCAGCATCATGCAGAAGCTGAAGAAAATGCGAACTCAGATGGATGAAAAGTAAAGGCCTTCATCTTATATTTCTTACATATATTTTCAATTAATCAGTTCATGCTTTCTTAGTCGTTTCAAAAAGCTCATGTGAAGCTTATAATGTCTCCCTGCAAGTCATTTCCTGACTAATTGATTAAATGATTAGTCTATGATTAGAATGATAATCATCAATTTGAAAAACAACAGTAGTCTTTTGATTTAAATGCAGAAACAGAAATATCTCTCTCACAGCCCACTAACCTAATAGAAACTAAAGTTTCAGTCCATGTCTTCGTTGCTTGTTGTGCTTTGAATGTGTGGAAGTGATTACAAGCATGATCCATGATTTTTCTTCTTTCCATTAGGCCAAACTAGGATCCACACTGATACTAAATATCTGCTAACGTTTCAATGAAATATTAATTGAATCAGAAGCAACAAGGCAAGGAAATCCAACCCACATAATCGGTGTAATACAGTGTAGCCTTGCTGCTAGAAATAATATCTGCAACCTGGGTATTTTTAACACTAACTGCAATAAGTAGGTTAATCATTCTGAGGATAAAATGTGATACAAACACAGACAACACAAAGCTTGGATTTACCAGTGGAAAGAAAATATATAATTCAAACAAAATCTTGATAATTTGGTAAAATTCTAATACAATGTTTTGTTAAAAAAAATTTCATCAACTCCCAACAACTTTTCACTATTGTAACATAACTAAATCATTTTTCCACCTAACCTTAACAATAACCCAGTTCTAATGACTTGTTCAGCTATATCTATTTCTAACAATTACACTGTTTACACTTTTACCCCATTCTGTTTAAAAATACTTGTAATTTGGTTATTAAATATCTTATGCAGTGGCCGTAACAACCCCTCATACTTTGTCCAATGGTTTAACTGTAAATGTTTTTTTTATTTTTATTACTAGTTTCCAACAGATTCCTGTCAAACTACAGTTTCACATTTGCTCATATATCTTTTCCCTCTTTCTCTCTCTGTACTTGTTTGTATTCTTCCCATTTACCCTTGTCTTTCATTTTATATTTTATAATGTGTGCATGTGTGTGTGTTTGTTGTTTCTGTTCATACCCACGTCTTACTCTTCTGCTCGTTGCGTGCTTGTGTGTTGTAGACACTGCTCTCCCGTCCACTACTTCCTATCTGTGTTCAAGGCCCACCACTGGGCCTCCCTCAGTGTCTGTCTTCCCCACCTCCACCCTAAATTCCAGCTCTTTATCTACAACCAGTTGGTCAGGTACTGTACAGTGATCTCTACCTTTGCCCCCCTAACCCCCCAGCACCTCTACCTAACTCTGCCCCGCTGCACCCTCCACCCCCATGGAACATGCTTTTGTTCATCCACTGGCACGGGGCCCTGTGTGGGTGGGCTGGTGAATGATGATTGATTGAATGCGTTGTTTGGTTTTGGTTTTCTTACAAAAGTTTGGGTTTGGGATTTAACAAGTTTTAAATTTCCAGGATGGGATTTTTTGGACAAGGTCTTGGAGTGAAAGCTTTGAACGTGCCCAAGGAAAGCTGTTTCCATTGAACTAAACAAACATGTTGACAACTTCTATTTAAAGTTCAATTGTATTTTTTTTAAAATGTTTGCCTCCCTATTGGAGTTAATATTTATTTTTTTTAAATGTTTGCCTCCCTATTGGAGTTAATATTGCATCATCAATGTTAAAAGTAAAGAAACAATCTGATTCTTTTATTTAAGAAGAGCATTTCTGGTTATCTGGAGATGAGGAAACAAAAATGTGAAGAGCTTTCCTTGTTAATTGAATTGAATCTCAGTCTTCACGCTGGGATTTAACTCATTTCTGTGGTGTTAAATTTGTGACTCTTTATTCCTTGCTTCCTGGAATTAATGATAAATATGCTGCAGTGCATCTACTCTCTCTTCTTTATGTCTGCTCACTAGTCAGACGTTTGCTTAGAAATGACCAGAGACAGAGTGGTTTATCTCTTTAATGAGCCCAGTAAATCCTAACTAGCCCTCTTTATTAGGAAGCTGTTGCGTAGAATGAGATAATAAGTACAGATGGCTATTGGCCTTAATACAGTTTAGGAATAAACTAAAAGAAGCCTCAGTCTGCTGCTTCACCATCAGGCCTGTCATCAGTTTACATTAGGTCAGGAAAAAGCTTCACTTATTAGATTGGAGCTAAATAATACTGCGCTGTAATGGCACCCGCAGCTGTGGGAGACCCCATTACACAACAGCTTTACCTGACAGCACTTTGGCGTGACAGAAAAGTGCAGAGCCTCTTGTGTATAAGTGAAACAGTGTGAGTTAAATGTTAGAATTACAAAGTCTAATGTCTCTGCAAGACAAACAGGACACACGTTTAGTTTTTATCTTAAGTAAAAAGAGTTTAAAACAGTGTTTGAGAAGTTATACAAAAAAAACACATTGATACAGTTCAGCTTTAGTCTTAAAGTCTTAAATGCATGACTGACATTTTCCTTCTACCCTCCTGAATGACATGTCATTATTTCAACATTTTGATGATTATTCTGAGCATGTTTAAGGGCGAAGTTTAAGTTTGTGCAACTTGAGTGTTTGAGGTGACTTTGCGGTGAAAGTTAGATGTTAAATTGTATTTTGTAACAATACCTTATGCTCATTACCTTCTTCTGTCTCTCATCTACATTTTCATCTATTTTTTTTCCCCATCCCTTTATTCCATTTCTCCCGTTCAACTACACTGTCCCTTTTCCTTAGGTTCCTCACTAAGCGAGAGCAGCAGCTCATGCAGAGGCGTCATCATGCTGAGGAGCTGCTGCAGTGGAAGCAGCGACTGGATCAGGAGGAGGCAGAGGTTCGTAGGATGGAGAAAGAAGCTCTGGCTGTGTGGAACAAAAGGACTGCTGGGGATGTGGCTCGTGACGTGTCACAGAGTCAGAAACATGACATCTCTGACCTCAGTTTTCAACAGAGCTCAGGACTTCAGAACCACAGTGAAAAAGGTGAAGCATCTAGCTAGCACCAGCTTTGCCTTCAGGATTAATGTGGAAATGTTTATTTACACTTTGATTACTGTTTAAAATTTGCAGAGTTTGTAAGTGAGGGTGACATGTCTTCAGCAACTGAGTCCAGTATACACACAGAGGAATCTGGGTCACAGCAGCCAGGAAGTCCCTCTTCATTGAAACCTGTTTCTGTGACTGAAACACCTCTGGCCTCTGTCAAGAGCAGCCTTGAAAATTATAGCCAAGATTTCACTTCACCGAGCAGACACGTACGTATAAATGTGCTCCGGCCATAAGGAGTGTCTCAGGATTTGTATTCAACTGTTATCATTACTGTAAAATTGATAAATATGTATTTTAATTGACAATCTTGTCATTTCCATCTGCCGAAACTGTTGTTTGTCTCCTAAAGAAAAAAAAAATCTTTTTTCCCTCCTCCTTTCCCTTGTCCAGTCTTCAATATTAAAAGGCAGCCGCAGCCCTGCTGCCTCTCCCTCAGATGGCAGCAGCAAAACCAAGATGCAGATTCACTCCTCCTCTCGAACTGCAGTCCAGACTCACATTCGGCCACAGGACTTTCCCCAGTCCATACAGAAAGGTGAGTGACCGATGAAACAAAACCCTTGGCTTGAAACAAAAGACTGAATGACAGTTGATTGTGTTTGGACGTTGAGACAGAATTATTACTGTACAGCTCTGCTGCTGCTGCTGGCACTGTGAAGTCAGACATTATGTGATGCTTCCAGGAATGCATTATAGCAGCACTTCCCTGATACTAGACCTGCTTAGCTGTGTGATAGGAGAGCCCACACTTTGCATTGCATGTTAGCCAGGCTGGTATCTTTCCTGCGTATTTAAATGGCTTATCTTTTTTTATTGTAAGTGAGCAAAAGATGCAGAATAGACTGTTTTGATCATGGTTAAGGTTGGCATACAGTTTATTTATTTTATTCCAGACCTGTAATTTATGAAAATGTTTCTACAGAATCCATTTCAGACCAGAGTGATATAGAGAGTCGTATCAATGCTCTGAAGGAAGAGCTCAGAAAACGAAAAAGTTTGGCTTACCAGTTGAAGAAAGAACAGAAGAAAAGACACAAGGAACGCCTGAAGGCAAAGGAGGCCAGTCTGCTGAGGGAGCTCGAGGTATAAGTTGTGCTTAAGCGTCAAGGTGTGTGTACGTACGTGAATATCTTTTGACGATTCATACTCATACATACCATTTTGTTTCAGAATTGTAACAGTTTTATTGAGAAAACAAAAGCAGAGCTCAACAAGGGAACAGATCAAATACCTGGTATAAAGTCAGACTCCACGTCTGACCCACAACATTCCAGGATTAAATCTCTTGATCACAGGTACCAAAATCAACTTTAATTCTTGTTTGTCTTTTCTTCCAATGTCACTTTATAACCTATAAAAAATGTCTTTCCTCAGGTCTGAAAAGAGACAAGTCTCTGAATCTGAACAGTCAAACGTTGATGCATTATCAAACCACAGTAAGTTATAATTACACTAAATAACTAACAAACTTTGTAGGATAAGTTTTCTTTTCTTTTGCTTTACCAAAACAATAATTGAATGATGTAATAATGGGATGTCAAAACACCTGGCTTTGACATCTTTAACAACTTATGTATTACGATACTAAACATTTCTAGTCATTTTTCTTTGCGACATATTTATAAACAACGTGAAATGTGTTTCTTGTGATATTTTCTTGGATTTTATATTTATTTAATTGTCTTTGTTAAATGTTGCCTAAATGATCTGTCTATTCCATCCTGAAGTTGATCGATTTAATTGTCTTTGTTTAATGTTGTTTAAATGAACATCTGTCTATTCCATCCTGAAGTTGATCACAGTGAGTCTGCGTCGCTGCCTGACTTGTCTGATGAAGATCCACCAACTGTCACTCAAACCCCAGTAAATGCCAGTCCGGACTGTCTCGTCTCAGGGCAAAGGAGCCATCATACCAGTGAGGAGCTGGTGAGACCGTCGTCCATCAGCAACAAGGTTATTGTACCTGAAGATGGCAAAGTTGTGTCTGATCAAACATCTGAAGTTCAAGAAGAACTGGAGCGGGAATTGAGCTCTAGGTTAGATGAACACAATTCAGAATGTCTGCTGAAACTAGAAGGTGAAGACGGATCTGACTTTCATGTCGAGCATCCCCCCACCTCCAAGAGCGAAATAGAAATATTATCTCCTTCAGAAGCAGAAGATGTTTCAAATCTGAAATTGAAGTCCTTTTCAGTTCCAGTGGATCACAAACCCTCAACTCGTCCAACCTCAGTCTCTTCCTCAAGTACTTCCTCATGTGAGCCCGACTCAGTGGCTAACTCTTTGAAGAAGGAGGCACCAATGAAAGGTGCCGAACATGTTCTTACTGTGACAGATGACTGTTATGATGAGTTGAAGGCATCAGATGATATTTCACCCAATGACCAACATTTTAGTTCCAAAGAAAAACTGAACGAGGACTTGTTTTGGCAGCAGAATAACAGCCAAAGTGAAGATTTAGGAGAAGAAAGAGCAAAAGATCTTGGTCAACAGTCCATCACAAGTGAATCCAGCGCCCTCTCTGGTGGATTAGTAGATCTCTGTGAGCAGACAGACGACTTCAAACATGACAGTAAAAGCATTCACACCGGCCACTCACCTCCTCTGTCTCCTGTTAGAGATGAAATGGCAGATTTTAACATCGGTGATCGAGTTCTGGTTGGAAGCGTTCAGCCCGGCACCCTGAGATTTAAGGGACCCACCAGCTTCGCCAACGGCTTTTGGGCTGGTGTGGAGTTGGACAAGTCTGAGGGGAGCAACAACGGCACCTACGATGGAGTGGTGTATTTCAAATGCAATGACAGACACGGTATCTTTGCTCCCCCAGAAAAAATAACCCAACTGCCAGAAAAGTTTGAGGTCTATGCAGACACCACGGAGGACGAGGACGAGGTCATCGACGACCTGACAGACAAAGTCAAAGATAAATGTCAAACAGATGAGGAGAAAAATCAGAATCAAGAAAATCTCGAGAGTAACCACGACAGCACTCCACTTAACGACTGTGAGTCTTTAGGTGATGTTCCTCACACAGACCATGAGTTGGACCATGAAGATACATCTGAGCTCCATTCAGAGAGTCACAAAGAACCAAGGCCCTTGTCAAATGGCAGTAGTCAGGACATAATGTTGGATTTGGAAACTTCAGAGATTATCCTGGGAAAGCAAAATAAAAGCCAGATTACACTACATGTTGAGAAAGTAGACGTGGATGCAATACCTGAATTTACTCCCACTGAAGCCTCGGTGACCAAGGATATTGAGAAAAAAGCGGAACCAGATAAACTGGACTCATTTACAGACAAGCTTCTGAAAAGTTTCATTAGTGATACAGTGGAGAAGTTTGCTGAAATCAAAAAGGCTAAAGTAGAGAAAATAGAAGCCGCCAACCAGCACAACAGGGAACCGTTCTGTGCGGATTTAGAAGAGGACTGGATCTCTTCAGTGGAACAGAAAGATGGCCTTCCTTTCTTCCCACCCCCCGAGAAAGAGGAGCTGTCTTCTCCAGAGTTGTGTAACCGACCGGTGAGTGTACGTCTCTGTTCCGATAAAAATATTAACAAGAAAATCAGCATATTCTGGTTTGCAATGTTGCTAATTTCACTTTAATCCGTGAACCAGATAACACTGGATTGATAAGCAGAATTTTGATAATCAGGTTAATAACAAACAGTTTGTTGGCCTGACCTGGATTTTCATCCTTGTTTTTGGGATGTTCTGAGCCAAAGTCCAACTCTGCCTATTGACAGACCTTTGAATTTGTAGCTCTTTCCAAGAGCTTGTTGTCAAAAACGACATTGAGTTGAGTCCCTTTTTTGTGATCAAATTTTTAAACCACAATCTCAGTAGGGCAGTTTTATCTTCAATGTTGAATGTTTATGAGTTGGTTTGTGAACATTTTTGTTTTACTGAAATTTTTTAAAGCACAATCTCAGTAGGGCAGTTTTATCTACAATGTTGAATGTTTGAGTTGGTTTGTGAACATTTTTGTTTTTCGTTTCAGGAGAGCCCAGTGTTGGGAGCTAGCGGCCAAGAGGAACTAGCTAAGCGACTTGCAGAGCTGGAACTTAGTCGAGAGCTGCTTGACGACCTGTGTGACGATCAGGACTGGTTTGATGAGGACTTTGGCCTGAGCTCCCGCAGAGAACAACAGAGACAGAAACAGAAACAGCGAGAAGAGGAGGAAGAACTAAGGCTAGGAGGATTTGGAGCAGGGAGTTCTATTTCATCAGCTGCTATGGGGGGGCTGGTCCCATCACCTGGTGGAGAACAGCATGTAAAGTCTCCACCAAGACCTGAGCTACCTCTTCCTCTGCCTCCCAAACTGCCTGAGCAGCCTGCCCTGGTGGTGCCACACTCTGCCACAGAGGTGGAGAAAATGGTACACGCTGCGACTGAGGAGATCTGGGAACACTGTGGCCTGGCGAACGACGGAGCAGTGACTCTTACACAGACACCAAATCCTCAGCCTTCCCAAGAGTATTTGGGTAAAGAGGCCAGCGGTGAAGACCAAGATGCTCTCTTCATTCGCAGCTACAAAAAGGTGAATCAGAGCCCCATAATATAAAACAAGTCTTTTATACAAGGCTCCATTCAAACGTTTTGTTTTTTAACTGAATTTGAAGCTCGGGTTTGTGTCGGCGTACATCCTGTCTCTGCTTTACAGGCACTACGAGAGTATAAAAAAGTAAATAATAACTGTCATTTCAGTGACTCTAGTGTCTTCCCTCTTTTTTAGCAGGCTAAAGTTTTGGGGGGGAAAATTTCTGAATGAAATCCCAGTGGTGTCGGGTAAAAGTTATTAGAGAGATGTGTTCACCCTGTGTTTTTTTTTTTTTTTTTTAAAGGAAAACGGGGGCAGTTTTGTTTGTAAAACCCCGGCACCAAAA